AGGTCCGCGTCTGCAGAGCTCCTGGGCCCGCGACTGCCGCTTTCCCGGTTGGCCCTGAAGTCCTGGCCGCGTTTCTGGCGTTTCTTAGCGCTTGGCCTCGTGGGGAACTCGGCTTCTTGAGACGCGCACGTCCACGGCGCCTTGTCCTAAATGCAGCGGCCACTGTGGGGACAAGAAATAAAAACGTGACCAAGTTAAACTCTTTTTTAAAAATGCATACGCGGGGGAGGGCCCATCCTAAATCTGGAAGTGCACATGGCCCACGCAACTGCCAATGCCGGAGCCGTCAAGGGAGTTCCTAGGTTTGCCTCGCCTGCCCGCCCGATTTCTCCCATTCCAGCTCGGAGGGCAACTGGAAAGAAGCAGTAGCCAAGTACCAGACCGTCCCACGCTCTCCGCACGCCCGACGCCTCTCTGCGCCCACAAGAGATGCGTCCAGGCCCCTGCTCCCTGGGAGCAACGCTCCCCGCAGTGACTGGACACGCAGTTCGAGCGAGTCCAGGCCACCCTCGCAGGTGGCCGTGCCAGGAGCCACTGAGTCTGGCCTCGACACTTGCCGCATGTCTTTTCGATTGATTTTTCAAAGAGAAAGCCAAGCCAACTTTAATCTAAGAAAAGGAAAAGTGACTTTACAAAATCAGGGAGCTTTAAATCGAAACCGAGTTATATATTCCAGTAACAATGCAGACCGTGAGTTTTAATGTCTCTGCGTAGGCATTTTAATTTGCTACAGTCACTACCAATAAAAACGGCATGTAGTGCGATTCGACTGTTTAATAGTGCAAGGTAGACGGTTTTTATTAGTAGCAGGCAGCAGTATGGAAAATTTAGATTTCGGTGGAGGAGTGTAATTGCTGGGGGAAAAATACACTCAGGAAGAGGCTGTCTTTAGAATCAGCAGCACTGAGCAGAGAGGGAGCAGGCAGTGTTCTGGAGACTCACCCTGGGTGACGGAGAAACCCTCCAAAGCCACGTGCACTTGTCTGGTTAGATATTTAATTGATGTCAAAATCGACTGTATTCCCAGCTTAAGCTCCTGCTCCAAACTGGGGATGTTTTTGTAATAATTCGCTGTTTTCTTTTCTGCCCTGAGGCAGAGACGGATTGGGGGAGAAGGGGATGGGTGGGAGGCCCAGCCCCAAATGCTAATGAAACCACAGCAGGAATTGGTCTTTAGAAATGGAAATTCTCAAGGCCAGTCTTTAAGATAAAAAGTTAGACCTGATTTTCTTCACTTAAACTATTTAATTGGAAGCAAATTGAATGGCTGCAATCTGATCTGTTGCTGCCAGTGCTTGTCATCCAAGTGTGTGCGACTCTTTTAAGGCTTCTCCCTGGCTGAATTCCCAAGACCAACAATGTCCTAGATCCAGTCGGTGGCATGCTCCACAAGGTGGCTGGGGCCTCTCTTGGGCTCTCTTTCTCTTTCCTTTTTCACTCTGCAATAATTGATATAAAATAATTGATATTGGCCCTGCATTGGACTCTGAGGTCCTACTTGGGGTGGAAAAATTGTTGGACCGCCCCTGCTGGGTTCTTGCAGTGGCCCAAAGTGCGTGGGAAGTGGTGTGTGTGTGGGAGAATGGGGGGTGGGGGGAGTGCTGTGCTAGAGGGCAAAGTGAAGATCGATGGGTAGAGGGGGCAGGGCTGTAGTTTGTAAGAGTACTGGCGTGGGGAGCAATGGGGGGCCAGGATGCGAGGACCGAAGGACGAATGGGTTGGGGGTTAGCAGGAGAAGAGGCTAGTGTAACTGCCTGGACCGCCCCTACAAGCCTGCAGGCCAAGGAAGACAATCTGCAACTGGTTCTCTTGGACCCGATGATGATCAAACTCAGCCTGTGCCTGGAAGGTTCCGGTGGCGACTGGAGCCTATCGATCGTGCGCTGCAGCCTCGCTCTGCGCCCGTGGGACTCGGAGTCCTATGGATACTCGGATACGATAAAAGAGGCCCCTGTGCGAGCTGCAGAGCCAACCGGGCTGGGGTGGGGGCGGAAGCTGTGTGGGAGGAGGGGAGCTGTAGGCCGGAGCTCCCGCCTAAGGTGTTCTCCCCCTACAGGTCACCCACCCGAGACGGCCCCGAGGAAGAGGCACCTGTTGGGTGGGCGCCGACATTCAGGCCTGCACACACGAGGTTCCCTGTGGAGCCCCTGGGAGTGCCCTACGGTGATTCCTGGCCTCCACTTCTGCGGGACCCTGGTGGGGAAAGGGTATTAGAGGGATGGGGAGTGGGGTTTTTCGGAGACTGCGTCCCTAGCTAAGCCTCTCTCGGCTCCGAGAGGCTCCTCTGGAGCCGCGAGTTACCTGAGCTACCTGCGCTGCCAACTGCTCCGGAGCCACCAGCTTTCTCCTTCCTGCCCAAGTGACAGCGAGGCTTCATGTCCTCTCAGAGAAGGTCGTCTGTCCAGTGACAGTCATTCCCTGTGTGTTTTACACCAGGCCGAAAGAGAACTCAAGTTATTAAGACAAAATAAAACCCTTTAGATGGTGAAGCACAGGCAGCGTGTGATAAAACGTTCCCATCCGAAAGTGCTAACACCCAGGGACCTAGTCTTCACCACGGACTTCGGGGCAGAAAGCTCACCTCTAGGCGCTCCTGGCAGGCAGTTCGCAACGAAGGCGCCCCGGATCCGGGTCCTGCGGGGACACACTGGTCGGCGCGGGGTAGGTGACCAGACTCGAGGCCACGCGGGGCGCCTCCCACAGTGAGGCAGAGTAGACTCAGCAAGGTGGAAGTGAGAGCCGCGCACGCCACCCCCAGGAAGACCCGGGCCGCAGGTGCCACCGTTTAGCGCCCCCCATCACCCGGTAAGCTGTCGGCTGGGACACTGGGGCCCTGAGGGAAGTCACTGGGTGGGCCTATTCCCGGTGAAGAGGGGGGCTCAGGCCCTTCGTCCCCGAGCGGACCAGCCTGATCAGAATGCAGGCGGCCTCTAGCCTAATCATTTCGAGCTGATCTGGGGGGCGGGTCAGTGGCTGGATTGGGACAGGATGGCAGGGGTGGGGTAAGAA